GGGGTGGTGGGGGGAGGCAGCTCCTCCCAGTCTGGCTTGGTTGGCAGAGATGCTGGTACATGCCTGCCAGGAGGATGAGGCCCCACAAGAGCTGGGCAGGTTCTCCCAGAAACTGTCCTCCCTTTCCTTCTCCCACAGAAGTTGGAAAGAAATCAGTGAGCAAAACTCCTCTGTGGTCCTAAAATGCTATTTTGAGGGATTCTCTCCAGGAGCTTTCCCTCAGGAGATGGGTCTGGGTCACTCTCCTGCCCCTGGAGTGAACCGGCCTGGCCGGTTTTTTGTTTATTTTATTTGTTTGTTTTTTTGGGAAAAAAGCTACTGCAGGAAAGCCTTGGTTAATAAGCTGACCGAGAGGCCGCCCGCCCCCCCTTTCTTTAATTGGCCTATTCTCCCGATCTGCCCCTCATGCTGCTCCTTCCAACTCTTTCCTCCCGCCAATACCTCCAGGGGTATTTCCCTCCAACACCTCCTGGCCTGGTCCAGCTGGGGTCATACTTCACCTTCGGTGTCTGTCACAGTGGCTGGTAAATCATAGAAAACCTTGGCCTTTTCTAGAGAGAGAAAAAAGGTGGTGGGGGAGAATGAGTGGACCCCACTGGGTCTTCATCTATTATTTGCCAGCCGGGGACATTTCCAGTTTTATTGGAAGTAAAATCTAAAGTCCTGGGTCCTCAAAATCAATCAGCCCATTGATCAGTCTATTCATGGATTTATTCTCTGTTTATCTATCTAGCCATCAGTTCATCTTTCCTTTTCCCCCATCTGAATCGTCAGGATCTAATTGATCTCTATAGACACACCCCGCGATGGTAATGGGGCCCCTTTGTTTTCCTTTGAGGGAACCAACTTGGAATGTTTTGCTTTGCCACAGTCCAGGACTTCACATTTTCTCAGGGAACTATTTCAAGTTGCCATTTGCCTTCTTCCTTGGCTGCACTTGATCTTCCCCATCAAGTCAGGCAGGCCCAGAGCAAGGTTCTGCTGCTGTTTATTCATGAGCCACTTCTTGGGGCGGGAGCTGAGTGTGTGCGGGAATGGTTAAGCCATGACAGGGCCAGGGGGTGACTCTTCCCCACTTGGGAGCCGCCTTAAGGGAGTTGGGGGGTGGGAGGTGGGGGGAAAGTTCCCCAGTAGAGGGAGCGGGGGTGGGGGGGGGAAGTGCCCAGTTTTACTCTCATGCCCTCCTTCTGAGTGCTGTCAGTGTTCCTTCTGTAAGTGACTTATGTGTGGTCTTGTTTCCAGAAGGCAGGGAGTGTGTGAACTGTGGGGCCACCTCAACCCCACTGTGGCGGCGGGATGGCACTGGACATTACCTGTGCAACGCCTGTGGGCTCTACCACAAAATGAACGGACAGAACCGACCCCTCATCAAGCCCAAGCGAAGGCTGGTGAGTTCTCCTCCAGAAACACTGACCCAACACGAACCATTGTGTGTTTTTAATTTCCTCTCTTCAGGAAGGAGAGCTTGCTGCAGGAAATTGGCAGGACAGCTCAAAATCCTGTCAGCTTGCTTGGGGATCCTTCCCCCCTGCCCCCCTTTCCTTTTCTCAAATTGGATATACAGAAAAGTTCGCTCGCTCGCTCTCTCTCTTTTTGTTTCCTCCTTCATATTTCCTAAGTCACTTACCAAATTTTTTAAGGATGCTGGCTTTTTGGTTATCAAATCTCTAATGTGTTTGCAAATAGAATGAGAGCGGACCAGGGCAAGTGAGTTCAGAGTCATTGATAATCGCTGTGCCACAGACGGAGAGATGTTGTGTGCAGATGCATGTACCAGGAACAATCTAGACCCCGTCCCTGAGCGGCAGGCCCCCAAGGAAGTGAGCCAGGTTCAGTGCCACGGAGGGGTCTCCTGTGCCCGTGCTTTAAGAAGGATGGGGCCCATTAGCTGAATCTCACTAGCAGCAGCCCCTGAATCTAGCTGAGTTTTTCTTCTTTCCTGATCTTAAGGACTGAGGACTTTCCACAGCTCATGCCTTTGGGAAAAACTTGTGATTCCTGTCTTGCCTCTTGGTCTCATGCAACATTTGCTCTTATTTCCCCTTTGAACCACTACCGGGAGGGTGATGGTTTTTAATCCCCTCCTTCTTTCTTTCTCAAAAGTCTTGACCCTTAGGAATACTTGAGCAATTTATAAGGAAGACTAGCAGGAGGAGTTCATTGGTGAACTTGTCTTTGGAACCTCAGGCTTGGATTGAATAGCAAGTGTATGTAACAGACAAATAAAAGCAGGCTGGGCAAATGATAACTCTAACCACAGTCAAGAGATCAAAATGCTTTTTGTAGTGATGACATTCACCAAGTAGAGAGGGGAGGAGGGGAATTTCCCCATGCAGATTAGTGGATAAAGCAGCATCCATCAAATTCTAAGTGTGTGTTTTTGTTCATTTTAAAGAATTGTCATCTCCATCAGATTTTAGTGCAACTTAACACCTTTCACATCCTTTTCAGAAGAAGGAAAAACTTTCTAGGGATGGAAGTGCCCACGTGACTTTAATTTTTGGCAATCCTGGGTCTCCCGGCTTTATTCCTTCTGATCTTTGCCCCCTTCTCCAGCATTCTCAACCTCCCCCCCACTTGTCCCCATGCACTTGGGTATTTTTTTTTCCTTTCTCTCATGTGCAAAGCTAACTTCCTAGGAAAAAGCTGCCGGATATCTGAGCACTGGAGATAACTCATAAACAACAACTCAGCTTCCCCAACCTAAACATCAAGATGTTTGAACGTATCAGAACAAGTGTTTGAAAAAAAAATGGCTGGAGGTGTTAGCAGAGAATGAATATGATCGCACCACAAAAGAATGTTCTGAATCACTCAAACCTGGCCTTAGTTAAAAAAAAAAAAAAGAAAAAAGAAAAAAGAAAGAGAGGAAAAGAAAACCAACAACAACAACTTTCTTGTTAAAATAAGTCATGGTAACATCCTTATAATTAGACTTTTTTTAAGGTAAAAAAAAAGAGAGAAGAAAAAAGAAGGTATAAAGTCTCAGACTACGGGCTGGTTGATGAGCAAGAGTGTATTTGACATTTTCTTGGGGTTTCTTCTGTCTGGGAAGATTGCATAGGAGGGCTGTTCTTGCATTTTATATAAGTTTGTCTTCATTCGCCTTTCATAAGAAATCTCTAGAACTCTGAGTAATAATTGCTTTTAATTCTGGAGTTCATTGGCTGTCACATTTTAAGCTGTCTTTTCTTTCTTACTCATCTGTTCTGGGTGGTTTTGTATTTTTAGTTCCCTGGAATTCATATGCTCCGGAGAGCGACTCAGAGCACATTCAGGATTTTTTTTTAGCCCTTAGATGTGATGGACTTCTTTCTGAGTACCTAGAACTTTCTTTTTCTTCTTCCCTATATTTCCTGTTCCTTCACGCCAGCCCCGCCTCCCCAGTTTGCTATTTTGGCTGTACACATTTCCAGATTTGCTGAAGACCACCCAGCCCATAATGTAGCTAGCTCTTCAGTAAGATGCCTATCTAACCCTGAATAAACTCATGCAGGAAATAGAAGAAATGACTAGAGAGGAGATCCATAGAATATTTTTTCCGAGTCTTGCCAGGGTTTTCGTATGTCTAACTGGCTAGCCGAGTCGAGCTTGCTTTATTAATGTACTTTGTCTCCTGCTAGTGAACCAAACAGTGTGGCTTTTAGAGTCTGTATAAATTCGCATCAAGTCTGTGGACCAGAGACGTATTCTGAGGCCGCTTGTATTTACGTTACTGTCAATACACTGGGAAGGACTGCACCAGGGACCTCCTGGCTTGGAGCTTGACTTTTACCAGCTGGTATTATGAGCTTGTAGCACACATTTAAACCTGCTGAGCTAGGAAATCTGCTGCCTGCGTAGATATTAATCGACTCGATCTCAGTATCTGTTGTCAAGAAAAAAGTACAGGGAGATAATAATAATCACACGATCACATCGTTGTCAGAATCATCAAGCACTGATTTTCTGTATTGATTTCTTCCCAAGACTATACAAGTACCAGTTAGTCTGGTCTCAGCCCAGCACGGTTCACGAGTGGTGGGTGGGCATGGACGTGCGGGGCCAGAGGCGGCGCCCCTGGGCTATGGGGAACTGTTTCCCAAATGGACAGCCAGAAAGTAGGACTTTCTCAATGATGACAGAGAAGAGCTGGTTTTTCTTCCCGGTTTTTGTAGAACACAGAAAAAAAAGAATACCCCCCCAAATATAAATAAATAAAAGCCATAACTCTGCTCTTCCAGCTTGTAGGAAAGAGGAGCCTATCTGTGGGACAGTGTAGTGGTTTGAAGGGAAGGGAATCAGTCGGCTTGATTCAGAATAGCCACGAGGTTGCCCATATCTGGCAGCTTTGGGTGTTGGGCCTAACTTTTTGCTTGATGAAATATTGATGGAAAAGCATACCACAATCCCTCTAGTTTGATCTCAGGCTCTTGTAAACATGCCGGAGTTTTCTAGATCACAGATAGCTGAATTCTTGCTCCTCCTCTGGGCTTTGATAATATATTTCAGTCCAGAGCCGGGGAATACTTCTTTTGCAGTTAAAATTGTCCTTGTAGGTCGGGGGAAGAGGAGAAGGAATTGACAGAGGTATATGTTAAAAGGGACCCAACTTCGTTTTCTTTGGAAAGTGTTTGAGTTTATATTTTTTTTTCTTTAGAGCGTGGACGTAGAGAATAGTACCCTCCGTAAGTTTAAGTGTGTCAAAAAGTGAAAGAAAAATCTCCCTCTTAAAGGAAATGAAGTCAGTGACACAACCAAATAATTAAAATTCAAGCTGAGACTGACATCTGACCTGCCACTCTTGGGCTCTGTGAACAGCAAATAGGAAATACCTAATTTCACGAAGGTGAAATGAAATGAGAGCAGGATGGGGGTTGGGGGTGGGTTCCTGTTGATTAGCAGAATTCTCCGTGCTTTTCAGTTTGGCTCATGAACTGAAAGCCACCTAACGAGAAGGAGGGTGGCGGTCACAGGAGTGTGGGCCAGGCAAGTATAAGGCTGCTGCAGATTTGCTGGGGGTCTGGCTCATGAAGGATGTCCTGCTTGGTGCTTCCTAAGTGGCCGGTCCTGTGGGTGCATGCCACACACACACACACACACACACGCACACAGGCGTGGACGCTCTCATACCGTGTGGGCCCCCTGTTCTCTTTTGAATCCAGCATTTCTTTATTTGGGAGCTGTCAAGTGCTCTGGATGTTTGGGTTCGCTCTCCCTTTGCTGTTCATGTGTTGTGATGGCCTCGTTGAGCATCGATCTTCTTGGCAGTTGCCCTTGCAAGCGGCTTCCCGGGAGTCTGGTGCACGGGGGTCCTGAGAGCCCGGTACCACGCTAATTCAAAGTTGCTACCCGTACAAGTTAAACAGCGGGCAACTTTGCTGGCTGAGGCTTGGGGGACCATTAGCTCAGGGCGGTGGTGTGGGCTCTCTGAGCCTCCCGATCCTGCCCCGTAGAGTGGCAGGCGAGATTCTGGCCCCTTGACGACCGTGCAACTCGATCCTGTGCCAGGGGATTGGCTGTATTTCTCTTCTTGAGGCAGCTTTTGGGGATCTTTATCACTTTCATGTGGGCCACTTGCTAGTTTTGATTTCAATGATAATTTTTTTCTTTTTCTTGTTGTCAGTGTGTCTCCGTGGTTCTGAAAGCCCATTTCACCTTTGTTTTGATTTTACCCTCTCTCTCTCTCTCCCCCCACCCCCCACTCCCAGTCTGCAGCAAGAAGAGCAGGTACGTCCTGTGCGAACTGTCAAACTACCACCACGACGCTCTGGAGAAGAAATGCCAACGGGGACCCCGTCTGTAATGCCTGTGGGCTGTACTACAAGCTTCACAATGTAAGTGTCCCGGGACCAGACCTGGTTCCTGTCCTGGGGGTGCCCGGGTCACGGCGTCCCCCGTCCCGGGTCCCCTTCTCCATTGGATCGCCCTCCCTTGGACCAAACGGCAGGCCTCAGAGCAGCAATGTCAGAGTGGACCTGCTCTGTCCCCCCAGCGGTGCTGAGACGGGACAGTGTGGGGCCGAGGACGACCCCGCGCCCCACATCTGTGTGGACAACACGGCAGTGCGGCCATCCAGCGCCTCAAGGGGGGCCTGGCCTACGCTTTCCAGTCTCCCTTTTGGGAAACCGGTATAGTTTGATGGTTTCCCTGCAGCTAACCCTTTTTTTTTTTTTATGCAAAAGAGGGAACGAGAGCAGGCAAGAGCGGGGGAGGGGAAGGTGGAGAGAATTGAGGGGAGTCGTGTGTGTGCGCGGCCGTGCAGGGCTGAGGACGGCAGCCTCACCTCACCTGCCCTGCGGATGTTACATGGACTCTGTGTAAAAGATGGGAAATGAGATGCCTGGCAGATTGCCTCCGATGTCTCTGTCCTCACCAGCAGAGACCGGAGGACAGCCGCCGAGTGGGGTTATCCGTCCCAGGGAAGAGAAGCTCTTGTCTCCTCTCCCGTGTCTTCTTCGCAGAATGAGAATCACCAGCCAGTCACCTGGGCGTAGCTGTGTCGTTTCTAATCTTTCCATTGCCGACCCACCCCCCTGCCCCGTCTTGTAATATCTTTATGTTCAAAACAGAAAAGATCAGGTATTTTTGTGTGTGCCGGAAATAACTCTGGCTAATAGGCCGTGACCTCATGAGGCCTGAAGTTTTAATTCATCCCGAAGACGAAAATGGCCATTTCGTCCTCTCTCTCTGTCTCTCTCACTCGCCTCTTTTGCTCGGATTCTGCTAACGTCTCTTTGCCAACCTGACTTTGGCAGAGTCTGGGGCTGAATGGGGAAGAGGCTTCTTGCTCAGGGCCATGCTGGCTGGGAACTCATCTCACCCAGGAATACCTGGGAATCGGGAGGAAGCTTCTCTGGTTAGATTTTTTTTGAGTCACAGGAGAACTTCTTCAGGGTGATCCCGGCACCCTAGTCCCTCTTTGCCTTTTGGGAGTAAGTTGTTGCCATGTCCAGGGACCCCGTGACACTTCGGTCCCTGCCTTCCATGTCATCCCCTCCTACCACGGTCCCTGTGTGATGCCCAGCCTAATGGAACTGGTCTTACTAGTCACTGCCTCTCGAGCCTCGGACTGCAGCATATACTTGCTTATCAGCAGTGAACCCCGAGTTCCGCTTTCACTTTGGGGAATTTACTTGCTCCCTGCGGTGCAGAGAAACAGATCTGTGATGAAAATCTGGAAGATTTGGGGCATCAGAGTTCCTGGGCTACCCAGCCGTTGGCCCAGCCTCTCCCGATTGTGTTTGGCTGTAATTTATGGTTTTCAAAGAACTTTCAAGTTTCTTGATTACATTCGAGCCTCAGATAGTCCCACGATGCAGGCAGGGCAGAAATTATTTTATTTCCATTGTACTTGAAGCCGTTATGACTCAGAGTGTCAAGTATCACAGGATACTGGCCAATGAACATGGCTGCTGGAGCGGAAGAGTGGGGACTGATTTCAGAGCGGCCCAGACCTGCCGGCGAGGTCAGGCAGGAGTGTGAGGACTGATAGGGACCGGTGGAAAGTAAACACTTTCTCATCTCAGCGTGTCCTGGAGTTCAATTCAAAGTAATGAATTGGCTGAATATAGAGATTTCTTTTCTTTTCCCACAGAAGCACAGGAACGCTGGGAGATTAACCAGCCGTAAATTTCTGGGACTGCTTAGCCATGGTGAGATGTGGTCTCGACTATGTCCGATCTAAGGGAAAGTTCGGAAGCCTATCGGTTTCTCATCAGATCTTCACTGCTCACTCCCACCCTATTCTTAACTCGCTCCCGACTTCGTGGCTGGGCTCCAGTGGCTGGGGGAGGACCTTGCTCCCCAACAGGAGTGGTTTTTCTGTCTTCTCTGCTTTAGCAAGACTTCACGAAAGGAGGCAATTTAGGTGTATCTAACAACAGGAGATCATAATCTATTAACATTCTCATCGCATCGTGTTTGTTATGCCCATCTGGATGCCTGTATATGTATGCTATGAGGGAGCTCCTTTCTTCTTATCTGGGTGTTTCGATAACTACCTATCTCAGGATCAGTGTACCTAGGTGGTGTTGAGACTAGTTATCTGGGTTTGTGCTGCTATCTGTGTAACTAGATATTATATTTCGATATCTGGCTGTGTATATCTAGATATCCCCGTAAAGAGCCGCGTGTCTAGACATTATCTTGGGGGAAGATTTGATGGGACTGTAGATTCCTATCACCTGTGCAGCCTGTGTCTTTATCTTGATTGTTACTTTGAAGAAGGACCCCTGAGATGTTCTTTTGGCAGTGACCTTTTAGCCCTTCTACCTTCCTGGCGCACGAGGGAATTGGGTGTCAACTCCAGCGTGTGGTTCTGTGCCCCTCTTTGGGGTGACGTCTCCCAGCTCAGCCCCAGGAAGCTGTGTGTCTGCTGTCTCCAGAAGCGTTGTTGGCAGCCTTTTGCTCTTGGCCGTTGGCTTCTGTCTCCCTTAACTGTCCTTTTCCAGCTTGGGGAGCAGACAGGTAGATCCTGGAGCCAGGAGAGCCTCTTCTCTTCCTCCACCCTCGAGGACCCGGGTGGAAGAGGATGCTTTTTTCCCTAAGGAGTCAGGAACGACTGGGACCCTGACATTCCGTCCTCGAGGTGGTTTGCCACGTTTCCCTGATGCTTGGCCAGATGCGTGGTTTGCTGGATGGGACAGCTGTCTGCCATTGAGGTGCCTCCGATTCTGACTCCTTGTGGGGAGTGATCTCTGCTTGCTTTGTAAAGTCCCCTCTCTTGATTCTACCCACCTTCCCTACTCCCTGCAAATGCATTTTCAGAACAAAACAGACAGAGGCTTCTCAAAAAAAGAAAGAGACAGTATGCTGTCTCGGATGCGGAAGACTAGTTGAAGACCTTCAGAGTAGGCCCTTGCTTGTCTCTTTCCTGGAGCTCACTCCCGCTCTCGAATTTTCAGGATGAGGGTGCTTTCATGTCAGCTCAGTTCTGCACGCCCCAAAGTGCTTATTAGCAAGTATTCGGTGACGGGTCGGTTGGCTCTTTGACTGGTTAGGAGTGCAGAGCCAGAACTAGGCAGAAATCGCAACTTTCAGTCATTGCTCGGTTGCTGTGATGGGGGCGAGGGACCAACCTTCTGGAGAGACACACTGCATTCAAACATGGCCCCAGAACCTACACATTCCAGGGGAGGATTTTTACAGCACCTGATACTGCGAGAAAGCCGGGCAGAAGAGAGACAACCGAATGTTAGCTTGGAGAGGGGTGCAGCCCTAGTCTCCCCAAGCAGAGGGACTTCAACTCTGGAGATTGATCACATTGTCAGTGCTTTCTTGGTCCGTAGTGCAGATTTCCGATGAGGGCACAGAGTGTTACTTCTGTCTTAAAGATTCCTTCCTAGCCTCCATTTTCATGAAATGCTCAAAAGAGTTTCTAGTGCAATCAGACCAGTTACTATATTTTAGTTACCAGAGAAAGGCAGTCGTATGAGGTGGGTCTCTAGAACATAGTCCTTGGGAATGCAGAGTTTCCTGGGGAACATTTTCCCCAAAGTGACTGATGTAGATGAACATAATTAACACCCTCTGCAATGGAACACCTCACCCCTGATCTCTTGGTTGCTGCAACTGACCGAACTGGCCACAGACCGAATCTGCAGGACGCGGGGTCCCCGGGAAGGAGACAGGAAGGGGTGGGGAGGAAGGGGGCCCCCGAAAGCAGATCCCTGGCATGGGGCGGTCAGAGCAGCCGTGTTGAGGGGTGAAAGCCTATGCCCTTTCAGAGCCAGCCAAAAAGTAAAAAAAAAAAAAAAAAATTGATCTTTGTTTAGATTAACAGACCCCTGACCATGAAGAAGGAAGGCATCCAGACCAGAAACCGAAAAATGTCTAGCAAATCCAAAAAGTGCAAAAAGGTGCACGACACGCTGGAGGACTTCCCCAAGAGCAGCTCGTTCAACCCGGCTGCCCTCTCCAGACACATGACCTCCCTCAGCCACATCTCCCCGTTCAGCCACTCCAGCCACATGCTGACCACTCCGTCGCCGATGCACCCCCCGTCTAGCCTCTCCTTCGGACCTCACCACCCTTCCAGTATGGTCACCGCCATGGGCTAGAGCCCCTGCTCGATGCTTCTAGGCCTCCCGGCGAGAGCCCCTCCAGCCCTCCTACGTGCATTTTTTGCAGGAGCAGTATCATGAAGCCGAGAACCGATGGATCTATGTTTTGAAGGCAGAAAGCAAAAGGGCGGTTGTCACTTTTGCAAAGGACCTCACTGTGCTGTGTTCTCGATCACTGAATCTGGATCCCATTTGTGAATAAGCCATTCAGACTCATATTCCCTATTTATCAGGGTCTCTCTAGTGCTGTGAAAAAAAAAAAAAAGAAAAAAAAAGAAAACAAACCATGCCGAACATTGCATATAACTTATATTGTAAGAAAATACTGTACATTTGAAGAAGACGTTATTGCATCTGGGGAGCTGTAAGAAAGGCATAAAGGACGCCAAGAATCTTAAGGAATACGGGGGAAATAAAGTGTGGAAATTAAGAAGAAACTAGGTCTGCTATTCACATGGACAGACCGCCAGTGTTGATTCCTTGCACTGGTCACAGTTGGATGCATTAAGAGGAAAAAAAAAAAAAAAGAAAAAAAAGAAAAAAGAAAAGAAAAAAGTCGTAGGCAAATCATTCGTTCAAAGCGGTGGGCCTCTGTCTAGAAAATTCTATCAGTTCTGGGCAGTCAGTGTGGCCACTCATGCACACATTGCCATCGAGGGGGTCCCAGAGCCTCGCTCAGGCCTCCCCGCTTTGTGAACAAGTCCCTGTAATTGTTGTTTGTATGTATAATTCAAAGCACCAAAATAAGAAGAGATGTAGATTTATTTCATCATATTATACAGACTGAATTGTTGTACAAATTTATTTACTGCTAGTGTTAAGAACTACTTTTTGTTTTCATATTTTCCTTCTTTCTCAATTTTTTGGTTGAATAAACTAGATGACATTCAGTTGACCTAAGGTGGTTTGTGCTCCGGAGGGCTTCTTTTCCATTTTGTTTTTTGATGATATTTATTAACTAGCTTCTAAGGGTACAGCAGCATCTGTCTCTTCCCTCACGCCTCCCGAAGCCTGGGCTGTCCGGGGAGCGATGTATGAGCTCCCGACGTGCATGCCAGCGACCTCGGCCGGACAGACGGGGTCCTGAGAGCAGCCGGGCTGACTGTTAGCTCCTATTGTGTTCTGTGTTAGTGATCACTGCCTTTCACACAGTCTGTTGGAATACTAATATAAAAATAAGGTGAACATATTTTAAAAACCACCAAATAACATCGTTATTGAAGCGGTGGCCAAGCTCTTAGAGAATCTGGTAGCTCTAGCTAATTTAAAAACAAAACCCAAACATGTTAAGTTATTCACTAGGAGGTAATGCAAACATTTATTCCTTTGGGAAGCCGGGCATCTTTGGAGCTCTCTCTGCAGCCCAGAGGCTGCCCCCCCGCTCCCCCCGGGGGGACCGGAGTACCTTCTGTGTCCCCTCGTGAGCTGCAGACCCTGGGCCTGGGCAGCCAAGTCTCCTCGCAGGAGCAAGGGGGACAGTTTCCTCGAGGAGATCCACAGGTGGACTGCAGATGATGGATTCCTCGTGCTTCTCTCCAAGACGTGAAGGAGCTGGGGCTGGGGCTTGAGTTCATCTCTGTTTTGCTTTTCTACTGTTGAATTGAATAACACGGCAGTGGAGGGTTTATTGGCATGTTTGCGACACACGAAATAGCCGTTTTTGTAACTTAACGCTGTATAGTTTCCTTTTACTCTGTTGACAGAATGTGTAACCAATGGCACACACTTTAAATAATCTCTGTTAAATCGCCTCTCTGCTTTCTTAGCAAATATTTTAAACCTAAAGCTAAATGTTGAAATAAAGGAGTTAGAGACTTAACTGAGATGCAAACGGAGATCTTACTGGCTCCTAATTTAATGACCTGCCCTTGGAATGTTGTTTTCAGCGACTTCTAAAGCACCGAAGGAACTCATCATCTGTTGCCATATTAAATTTGGGAGATTTTCTCGTGTAGCTCCAATGTCTCAGGGTCTGCCACCTACTTTCTTCGTGAACAGATTTGAGTCCATGCTCTTTCACCTTAAGAACAGGGAGTTCAAATTCTTGACATTCTTGGGGCGGGATGGTGGGGGTGGGGGGGCGCACACGTAGAAAAGTCCCAAACTCAGTACTCCAGCTACGTTTTGTTTGAGGGACTGCGGTGATACAGCATCTCTGATCCTACTCCTTCTTCAGAGAAGTGTCATTTTATCATTCTGTCCGTTGATTTGGCATTCTAAGATATTTCTAGAAGATGGTGCAAAAGATCTAAAATATACATGATAACGATGATTCAGTTTCTTCGTTGGAGCGTTACCACGTGTTTCCGTGGTTTTGTTCTTTTTTTTTTTCTTTTGACTTCACTTAAATAGAAGACACTAGAAGGGCAGTTGGAGAGAGGGTTTAATCTAGAAAACACAGAACAAGGTTGTAGATCTAAAATATTGCTCAAATATTTTTGAGGCAATTGTATCCCTAATTAATTTTCAAACTTCTTTTTTTTTATTTTATTTCTTTGAGAGAGAGGTAGAGAGGGGCAGAGGGAGAGGGAGAAGCAGGCTCCCCACTGAGCAGAGACCCCAATGTGGGGCTCGATTCCAGGACCCCGGGATCATGACCTGAGCTGAAGGCAGCTGCTTAACCGACTGAGCCACCGATTTTCAACCTGTTTTGTCTCACTTTTAAGATAGTTGCATTAGCTTATCCCTAGGAGGTTAGTGTGATATATATGTGCAAATTTGGATGATTTCTTTAAAACATTTAAAAAGCCAACCTATTAAAAAAATAAAGGACATAGTTACGGAATGCTTTTGCTGTTTATGAACCCCTCTTATATACGGCAGTGGAAATTCATGAAGTAAAAATTTAGATTTTGAGTGCTTCTAGCATGTAGTCAGTACACACCTAGGGAGTGTCTAGACTGAAGTCCGTTTCAAACCACTTTTTTTTCTCTTTTTTTAAAGCAGACCAGGAAATCAAGAAACCCAGACTCCAGTGTCTTACTCTTAGTGTGTGACATTTACATGTTATTCCCCTTTACGGACGATGGGCCCCGAGGTGAAACTCCCAGCTGGGCCTCTGGGTTAGTCGCAGACGTGGGGACACCCAGAGCCCGCCTTCTGAGATCCGTGTCTATTTTCTGAACCTCCCTCTGGTGTCAGAACCATTTTTCAAACTTTGTCCTCATCGCAGGACTTTATTTTAGTGTACCCTACTTAAGAACTGAGTGGAGGAAGGCAGCAAAGCCTTCCCAGGTACTGCGTGCCTGACCCGAATTCAGGAAAAAAAGGTTTGTTCACAAAATTCAGACGCAGGAACTCACATGCCGTCTTTCCCTCCCCCCTTCCCATATTTTCCTCACAACGTGACTTGTCCCATTTACATTTCAGAGACTTCGAAGCATTGTGACTCCATGCTCTCTTTCAGTCCACATCCTCATCCTCCATCCTCAACCTCAAATCCACCCTGAAATCTAGAATCATTTTTGTGATCTCTCCTGGACAGCAGTTATGATTTGACTCCTCTAGGTAAATTCCCTTCAATTTCCAGGCTAAGCAGAGATTAGAAATAATAATAATAATAATCACTTAGAAATTTAAAAAATGATTGAAAGTTCAAGAGAAAACATTGGAATGAGATCGTGTCTTATATATCATTTTTACCACGAAGCAAACATTGTAACTATGATCTGGAAACAGCTGAGTGGCACGCCAACCCCTTTCCTGCTCTTTCAAATGAACTTCTGGGACACATTTTCATTTCTGTGTATTCCACGTTGCTCAAACAGGGTGCATACACCCTCAGATTGGACGTGTCCACACCCTTTGCAGAAATGCAGTGCAGTGGTCAGTTGGGACTTCAGAGAAATTCATTGATCATTTGAATGTGTGAGGACAACTGTCCTAGAATTTGGAAGCTTGGGTTTCATCTCTGGCTCTTCCGCCAATGAACGGAATGATCTGAGGCCATTTGTTTGATTTCTCTGGGAATGGGCTCTTGATCTGTATAATTGGATGGGATGATCTCTAAGACACACCGGGGAAGACAAATACTATGATTCCATTTTTTTTTTTTTTTTTTAGACTATCCTTTATTAGGAAAGACGTCCTCACACCCACAGTCAGAGTATAGACCAGGGTATTCTAAAAGCCTAGAGTGATCATAGTTCATAAGATTCCAGATGGGCCGGGGGTAATCCCACTCCCATCTGTCCTTGGTCCTATCTTGCAAAACACAAATTAACTTGTATTTTGTGACTGTCAGCTCAGGACAGGAGTTAGTGTCCCAGTCTGCAGATTTTCCCTACTCTTTCTGAAATGTGTCCAGGCCCCTCTTGAGTGGAATACACAGGACTTGCTTGTCCTGCTGATGTTGGCAGCGTGGTTCATATTTCAGTCATCCATTGTGTAAAGAAATTCTGCCTGAATTGCTTACAGGCTATTCTAGGGAGATAACCAGAGCCCAGTGTTTCATTTTCCTGGCCCCCCTCTCTCTCTTTCTCCTTAGAGAAGGGGATAGGCAGAGGAAGTAGATCAATGTCCCCCCAGAGCTGTTCCTTTTAGGGTGCTCTATCTGGATTCTGATGTCTCTAGGCCCTTCCTTGCTCACCCTCTAGCTCCTTTGCTGGGGATCCCGGTACATTAGCCACATTGTTTGTGGTGCGTTTTTACAATCCCCTGTCATGTCTGTGTGCAGTTTGGCAGGCTGCACATTGGAGTGGGGATTTGGAGAGCTGGCCCACTGTCCCTCCTCCCCCCCCCTCCCTTGCCCCCACCAGGTCTCAGGCTAAACACAAGGCCTGCATTATAAAGCCCTCATCTGTACCTCCTGGGCCCCAGCCCCAGCCCAAAGACGTGCAAACACCTGGAGGGGAGTGTGTGTTCCGAAGGAGGCAGCTCTGGGCTGAGAATTGTGCAACTTCGGGATGTGTGTGGACACATGCAAGGCCATCAGCTCCTGGACGGGGATCCTAATTCTTTGACATGATCTGAAGGGGACCCCACTGCAGAAAGATTGGGATGGTGTCTGCAAGATGCCGAAACTGCTAGGTAGTCGACTAAGAAATCAACCAATCTGGGTTTCCTTTGTTTTTGGCCTTGGTGCATAAAAACCTTCTAGAAAATGAAAGTTTTGTTTCCTTCCTTTGCTTTCTTTTTCTGACTATCAAATTCGTGAAGACGTTAGTGAGCAAATTTGTTTTGCTTTTTTTTTTTTTTAAAGCAAAGTAGTGGAAGAGACAGGACTTTGGGGCGTTGCTGTTGAATTGGCCACAGGCAGTTGGGTCTTTCCATTGGTTGCTCTCACATGCCTGAACGAATCTGCTAGGCCCGGGGTGGGGATGGGGGCGGAGGTTGGGGGGGGCAGGAGGGGCTTGGGTAGAATATTTGCTCTTTGAGGGTTATTAAAATTCCATTTCATGAACTGGATGGGATCATTAAGTAAAATCCACCTTGTAAAAAGCGGCCGCCCTCACCTCTCTTGTGATCAGGGGAGAGACTCCACTGCCCTGCATTTCCGGGCCAAAGCGAGAAGAGCCCATGTACTGCTTGAACACCAAGGAGCCACTCTGAACACACCAGCGGCTCCAGCCACGGCCCCTGGCCACAGTCATTGCTGCTTCAGCTGCAGCTGCCTGGAATTGCCTCCAGCGACAGTCCCATAACACCGAGTCCAAAATTCAAGTTCTCTACCACAGGCAGACCCCTCCTGTGCTAGGCTCGTAAGCTGACCCGTCTTGGACAAACTTGAGAACCGAGTGTGTCTTCACTTGGAGCATCTGCAGAGCTCCCTTGTGGCAGCAAGCTGGGTCTCCCTCAGAGAATTCCAAATTTCCCAGTGGTCCACTGGTTAGGTTCACTCTTCTGAGGACCCCACGACTCCTGACAGCTGCCTGGACCCATGGGGACCTCCTGGAAAGATAAGGGGACTGGTCATGTGTTTGGTCTGACCCTTGGGACAGGGACACTGGACAATTCGAGGAATCGGAGTGGGAAGATGGGCAGGGAGGCCGCCATTTGGTGCACATACCTAACAAAGCTCCTAACCGATAAGCCCATAAGTGGATGCTCTCACTTAATTCCCAGAAAAGCCCTGTTAAGTGGGAAGGTTATTATTCTCCTTTTATGGATCAGAACACTGTGGGGTAGAGAGCAAGTAACCTGCTCAAAGCCACACCTCTGATGAGTGGGTTTTTGTAGACTTGGACCCAGCTGGTTGCAGAGCCCACCACGTGATGGAGGGCCGGCCCTCTACGGAGCAGCCAGGTCTACTGTGCTCATTGGCAGCCCAGCGAGCAGGTGCCTGGCACAGAAGCCACACTCAGCGTTTTATTGGAAACACGAATGACTATGCTATGCTGCTTTGAACATGTATTGGTCCCTTTCTCAGAGGAGAAATTGAAATCGCTCATTAGACATGGTGGCTTCCAATCAATCAGACCGCATCGTGGCTTCCAATCAATCAGACCTCATTCTGGGCAGGTAGGAGTGTGGGAGACAGACAGGACAGGATGTGCTCAAAGTTCCTCAGATGCCTGGTAATAGATCCACCGGAACACCTAAATCTTTGACTTCCAGGTGAACTCTTTGTGAGTATCAAGTTCAATGCCTCCATGAAGCCAAAATCTGTATTAGTTTACTGTTGCTGCTGTAACAAATGACCACAAATTCATTCTCTTTACATGTCTGGAGGACCTGGGGATGATCTGTGCCCCCTGCATCCTCGGCTCGTGGCCCTTTCTCATGCCATGCCAGCCTCTGGTTTCCACCCTCACATCTGCTACTCCTTGTGTATCAAAAGGGAGTAGCTGTCCCTCCCCCTGGGGAAAGAAGTGGCTTGGGAGACCCCATCCT